CTCTGTTTGGGCTGCAGTTAAAGGCTGACTACATTAGGGGGCAGGTGTAAGTCCAGGTAGAGAGTGAGCAACGATGAGTCAGTTCCATACAGAAAGAAGACTCAAAGTCCCTAAGCGGACGTTAGATCCATTGAAAGTCATATTGCCCTTGCTTAAGCAGAAGGCCTTGGCCAGAGACATGACTTTGCCTTTTGCCAAAAGCCTAGAAGGCTTTAATAGTAGAGCACATGCAAAAGAGCCCCGTTTTAAAATCTCTCAGCTTTGGTTACTTTTAAAGATCTGGCATAATTGACTCCATTTGCATATCTGGAGAAGTCCCCTCACTGGTGCAGTCCTTTTGAACTGTCTTGGTGGCCGAATGCCTCTTTTTCCTCTGAGAAGTTGGGGGATGCTGACTGCTTGGGGGTTGCGTCCTCTTAAACCGTTTCTCTGAATAGTCATCTCTGAAGATTTTGCCAGTTTGGTAGTTCAGTCCCTGGAAAGTTCAGAAAGTCAGATTCTGTCCCACACAGGAGGCAAGACTAACAGATCAGAAGTCAGTGCCAGTGCAACTTTTTGGCCAAATTAAGCAACAGAGAGATTAATTAAAAAGTGGCTTTTAGGCTGGGCTTAATTAATCTAATTGCTTGTTCCATAGGGGATTACTGAGACCTTTATATTGCTGTAAAGTGTTAGCAGGTAACAGTTATAAAGTTTTTACAAGGAAAATACAAAATGACTTTCTTAGGAGAGTTTGTCCTGGTTGATTGATAAGCACTTGTCAGAGTCATTTTTTCTGGACTTGCCTGTGAATGTTCTCGAAGGATCAGAACTGTAATAACAAAACTCAAAGTAACCATGGTTAATTACAATTTAAACCTTGAATTTTGGTTAGGTAAAGTAACAATTTAGTGGTTGTCATTTAAATTCTCTAAAGCATGTTTTCTAAAATTAAAAACGGTGCCATTTAAGGATTTAACATTGGTCACCATAAAGTATATCTATTAAAAAAAAAAGGATTGTAACTTATTTAAAATTCATTTGCTGTAAAGGCAAAATTAAAAGGAAAAAAATTATGAATACAATGTCATCTTTTTACACCATAATACAGTGCTAATTAATGCTGTCCATCATAATTATTATTCTAAAATGCATTTACAATAAACCTTTAAAAAATTCTAACCTTAACTGCTCTCTGCTGATAAAATTAGGCTTACAGTCAAGAGGTTAAAGAAAATGGATTTTTATATGCAGACTTTTTTTAAATAGACAATTTAGAGGTTTTATTCTTAACAATTATTTTTGTTTAAAAATTTTGTTCCCCATAGCTCAAAGTAGTATGTTAAATTCTAAACTTAAAGTCCTTTCCAAACTGTGTCTCTGTAAATGCCTGGGTTCTACAGGGTTTAGATTCTTGGCTTTCCAGGAATAACAAAGTCCATTTATAAGAAACTCCAGGCTCTAATTATAAACACCTGGAATAAACTGGGAAACTGTGCATGGATGTCATGAATTGTGGGCATGGTTACCTTGAGTGGCTAACTGAGTAACCGTGTCTGGGCATTGTAGTGAACTGTTGTTGTAGTTCCCTTGAGTGGCCAGCCGGGAAGCCGTGCAGCCTGTGCCACACTGCGCTGCGTGTACCTACTTCAAGGGGTGTCCCAGGAAGCCATGTTGCATTTCCGTCCTGAGGTGCCAGCAGCGGCCAGGACGCTGTGCTTGGAATGGAGCAGCAAGGCTCTGTTCCCTTTATTGCTGTTGTGTTCCCTGACAGTGTAAAACCTATAGTTTTTGTGTCCCCTCTGCCCTCCATCCCTGCAGGGGTGATTGCAAGCTTCCCACCCCACAGGTAGCAGTTTATTTGCTCCCTGCCCGCACAGCTCTCTCTACCATTTTTTGAGCAGCTGTGCTTTCCCAAGGCAGGTGCTTTTTTTCTTTAAAAACAAACAAACAAACAAAAAAAGTGTTGCTGGATGGGCTGACCGAGGTGTGCTTCCTATTTGTTGTTTTAAAACCACCAGTTAGGGGGAGAAAGAAAAGAAGAGAAGAATAGAAAAATGGTGGAGGAGCAGAGAAGAGTAGAAAGATGTGTGGAGAAGCTCAGCCTCTACAGCAGGGGCATTTCAAATTTTCCCTGGCCACTTCGGCCACCTTAGAGTAGTAGGTCTCCCACAGTGCAGCGAAGGAAAGGACAGGGAGGTAATTCACGGTTAGGAAAGGTAGGGTGGGGAAGGGGCCACTAGCTTTTAATGTGGTCCATTCCTTGGGGCAGGACCAGGGGAACTTGGAAATGAACCCTGTGCCTTGGGATGCTTTTGGGAGCTTGAAAGTCCTGCTGGCAAATGTAATCCTGCCAGTCAGGGTGCAGTCCATCTGCACCAGGGCTCCAAATGAGTCCTGAGCATTGGGTGAATGCCCTGGTGTGAGGGTGCCCTACCACCCAAGCTGTAAGTGGTGCTTGGTTCTGAAGCATCAGGTGGTGAGGCGTGGTACCAGAGGGAAGAGAAAGATGGGTTAAAATAAAGATTGGCAGAGATAGCATATTGGGATCTCACCTGTCAGTTTCTCCTGGCTGTCTATGCCACAAATGTTAATGGTGCTGCTGCAGTCTGAGATCAGAAGATCCTGGTTTTTGTGCTCCAAATGGAAAAATCCAAGCAGAGCGTGTAGATGGGGAGAGGGAGGATAGCTTTATTGAGAAAAGGGGAGTCACCCATTCTGCCAGGTGAGGAAAGGGAAGGAGGAGAAGAGGGCAGGTGGGCCCTGTCAGAGAGAGAGGGCTTTTCTTTTTCAGATGCCTTTAAAACCTACATTACCCCTTGGGAGGGCAGGCCCAGGAGGTTCCCACCCAATAATGAATGAGTGGGGAGGGAAATAGGTGGTTCCCAGCCAGATGAGGGTGGTCTGGCCATCCCTAGGCAACCTGCATGAGCCCCAAACTTTCCCTACTCCTAGCCTGCCTCACAAGGAGGAGTTTTGCCCGATGTTTTCTTGAGGTATTTCCTCAGGATGTGCTTACCTAGAGCAAATCATTAATGCAAGTCCAGGGTGAAAGCATGGTCACCTGCTGTAGACTTATGGGAGTGGTGGTGAGGGATTTCAACTTACTTAGTAATGTATTTCTTATTCTTAGCTACTAGCTCTTAGTTCGTTTTTTTTCCCCTTCATTCTCTGGATTCCAACTTGCTTTTTTTCTCATTCCACCCTTCCCTATGCTATGCTGTCCTGCCACACACATATGAAGTGTATTTTTGGGATAATTTCTAGACAACATTGGGTCAGAAAATTGTATCTTTAAGAAGATTTTGCAGAGTTAGCCTCCCAAATATTGCACTGGTTTACACTCCTTTTAAATGTTTAAAGAGATGTTTTCCTATGCCCTCCAGCATGGCATAGTATCAGATTTTAATAATTTGTAATATTATACAGATCTAAATTGCATTTCTTTACCAAGGACAGTGAGCATCTTTTCACATGTTTATTGAGTCATTATATTTTTCTGTTACCATCTGTGAGATTTTGAAGTAGGTATTTTGGTCTTCCTTCCTGGTTCCTGCATCCTTGGAGTCTTCAGAGTGACAAATGCCTTTTGTATGCAAATGAGTTGGCTGGTGCCTGGCAGCCTGTAGGCTGGTCATCTAGAAAACCTAAGGCGCATTAACCTCGAGGAGGGAGAGCCTTGAAGATTTAAGTTGATCTCCAGCGACTAGTGATTTAATCAGTCTTGCCTATGTGATGAAAGGATTTTCTTCTGGGTAGCTGAACACATGGATGTGTCTGGAGGTTGGGGTGCCCAGAGAGGGTGTGGAAGCTCTGCACCCTTTCTCCCATCCCTCATCCTATGCATTTCTTCATTTGTATGCTTTATAAAGTCCTTTGTGATAAACCAGTACATGTAGGCTTTTCTTGTGAGTTGCTCCAGCAAATCATTCAAGCCCCAGTAAGGCTTGGGGTTATTGATCTATAGCCCATGGTTTAGAAGCACAGGTTAAACTATTTTGGGCTTTGACTGGCATCTGAAGTGTGTGTGGGCAGCCTCGGGACTGATCTTCACCTGTGGTATCTGATGCTGCTGCAGGTGGACAATGTCAGAACTGAGTTGAATTTTAGGGTTTAGCTGGTGTCTGCTGCTGCATCTTTGCTTGCTTCCTGGGTGGGAAGGACTCCTACCCCCACCCCCTGCCCCACACACACCTGGTGTTGAAGTTTGTTGTGAGACATTGTTTTTTTTCCTACACACCTACCTATTTCATATCATTTGCCCATATTGTGATACTGATTTGTGAGTTTTTCTTCTCCTCTGCAGATTTGTGAGAAATTTTTGTATATTAATAAAAGCCAAGCCCTGTGTCATTTGTATTGAAATTGTTGGGTCTGGAGACCTAAAGGAAAGATGAGTGGGTATCCCATCCCCCATGGAGAGCACTATGAGCCCTGCACCCTGCGAAGGAGTTATAAATCTGCATTCCTGCACCCTGGGAGGAGATACAGGGTCTCATAAATCTGCCATGGGGCTGATGAACAAAATGCTCTCAAGGTTGTTCCCCTCCCCTTAATAAGGGGCAAACAGACCAGCTCATCGAAGAAAGCCCGAGCGGGCAAAACCACAGCCAATGGAAAAACCCACCTAACAAATACCCTAACCCAGAGCTAAAGTGTCCATAAAAACCCCAGCCTTCACCTGAGCAGCGAGCTACCGGCTTCCAGGCCCCTCTGCACTGCTCTAGCTGTAGCCTTTCCTTTCTCTCTAATAAATCCTACTTTATATACCTATTTGGCTCATCATTCAGCTGCCTCATGAGCCACTTCTCTGGCCTGTGAAGACAAGGACCCTCCTTGACACTGGCCCGCAACACTTCGACACTGGCACGTAACAAAATGTTTGTTTGATTTGCTATTTTACTTTGTTTACTACATTAAAAAATCATACCAATATTTAGAAGTTTTTATTTAGCAAGATATGTTAGTTTTTCTTTGGTGTTTTTGTTGTCTTATATATTGCTTAGAAAGACTTTGTGTGCCCCACTATAAAAAGTTTTACATATTTTTGGCTCTAGTACTTTCATATTTTCTTTTTGTTCTTTCTTACATTTTCTTATTATTTGGTTTTGTACATTTTGGGAACCAGAAAGGGATTTAGTCTTTTAATGTTTTCTCCCCCAGTCTAAATGCCTAGCTAGTTGTTCGAATGCCACTTTTGATTAATTCATCATTATCTACTGATCTGGTCTGCTGTCTTTACAGTAAATAAATTCCCATATGCATGTTGCGTCTGTTTCTGGACTGTATACTGATCTATTAGAAATCCATTTATTTCTGAATTTTAAAAAAATTGGAGAGTCATTAGAGTCTGGTTACCTTTACTCTTGAACATACCTCTTATATGGCCTTCGATTGCACAAAAGGAAAAACATAATTTGAAGGACAGATCTAAAGAAGGAGATTTCCTACACATGAAGTTCATAGTGGATTCTGGGTGGTTTCTCATCTGCTTCAGGTGAAAATCTCGGGAGAAGCAGTGAGAATCATCCTGATGAACCTTGTCTCAGTCATCTGTAGGGAGCAGGTAACGTACTTTTATGCTTAAACATAGAACTTGTGAGTTGTTTGGAAGTATTCTTTATTTAATTTCATAGCCAACCCCAAACTTAATGTGTAAATTTAAAATGTGCACATAGAATTTCAGTATTTGAGAAATATAGCCTTCTACCAAGTGCTGTGAGTTTCCCTCTTTTTGAAAACATGGCTACAGAATGTGCTGAATCTGGAGGAGCTGAAATTCTAAACATAAATCCTGTTTCCTGATGGCAACACCCTCCTAATGAAAGTGGGCACAGTGGGATGGAGAAAGGACATGAGAGCATTTGGAGTTGGGGACATTCTGTGTGCAGATGCCCAGCGAGGTGGTATTTTGCTCAGGGTAGCTGAGTTCGGGTGGAGAGAAGGATCTTAGCAGTTACCATCCCCGGGAGTTGAGTTTGCAGGATCCTGAGCCTCACAAGAAGTGAAACCAGAGCCACAGGGCAAATGGCTGCTCTTTGCCCAGTCGGCTGGCTTCTGGCACCTTTACTCATGGATATCTTCTCTTTCCACTGCGGCAGGCCTCAGCTTTTCTTAGCTGGGTCAGTGTTAGCCCTGGGCATTGTCTGCTCTTTCCTAATGCTATCCTTCTCAGGTCTTTTCTTCCATTTTGGACAGTTTTTTGGATATCAAATAATCCCTTTCCTTTACTGGGTAGTGGATGCTGTAAGTGGGAATAATTACATTGAAAAATTAACTCTTGCAAGATGATATATGTGCTGGGGCTTGCCAATCACTAGGGTGACAGGTGCCCTTCCTAGTGGATCTCAGGAGCTGCCGCCTGTGTGGCAATGTCAAGATGAGGACATTTATGGGAGTTTGTTTTTAAATCTGATGATGTGCCCTCTTCTCTCAAGTATGTGAGTCGAAATTAAACAGGTTCTCATGTAGGTGCATTTGTAAAGGTAGGCTTACAATTCTAATCCATTTCCTTTTTTCTCTGCAGATATTCTGTGACTTACAGTGGGGATACCTACTGATAAGCCCATCTTTAAGTTGAAAGTACACTTAACACGCCTAACCTGAGCATCCACATTCATTCCTAACTGAACATCCCATTTGAGTCACACAGCATGCTGTAGATGGCCCCCCTTTCACCCTCGTGATTGTGGGGCTATTAGCAGGTGCAGCTTGCTGTTATTATTCTGCTTTGGGAGATGGAATCAGACCCTACATTGCTGGATTAGGGAAAGATTCAAATTCAAACTTCCAAGTTTCTGCTGAATGTGTATGGCTTGGGACCATTGTCAAATGGAAAAACCAGAAGCTGAACCATAGCAAGTCCCACCTGTGTTTGCAGCACACATGCGCTGAGTACAGAATGAGAGTGAGCAACAGTCCTGACCCCTATCTTCCTCAGTTCCCAGAAACCCAAGTTCTGTGGCCCAGTGGGACAGGGCTGCAGCTGATGAACAAATAGATGGCAGCCCCTGGGAGTGACAGTCATGATACCAGTTGCCAGGCCCCACTCTGAGCACTCTTAGGTATGACTCTGGTGTGACAGATTTAAAACACCCATGAGCTAAACAGGGTGCCTTTAACCCCAGGAATGTGAGTCAAGGATTTATAGAGTCACTATTTTTTCTTTTCTTTTTTAACAATTAGCATATATTAACTGTACAATGGAGTTTCATTGTGATATTTCCATACAAGCATATACACACACACAGCATACATCTATGCACTATACCCCTCTTCTGCAGCTGCGATTTGGGCCCAGGACCACCAGTCAGAGGACACAGATATGCATTGGGAGCAAGCCCTGTGCTGGGTACATCTGTGTTGGGTGGGCAGTGACCACAGTGGGCATGGAGGGTTGTTACACACTGGGTAGACTTTTCTTGCAGTCTGATAGGGTGTGATTCTGGCTGTGGTTACTGGCTATTTAACCAACCTGCAATTCCAATTTCCTGAAGACCCTGTGAGTTTACTACTTACCCCCTGCCCACCTTGCTTTTGTGGTGCTGAGGACTGAGCCCAGAGCCTCACACAGGCTGGGCAAGTGCTGTATACTGAGCAACACCCAACCCATATCACTCTTACTCGCCCTGCATTTGTGTCCTTCCAGTGCAGAGGCTAAATGAATCAGATTCCACAGGTCATTCTGTACCACTAGCCCAGGTCCAGGGACGTCATCTCCTTTGTTTTCTCGCTTAATAATTCATTTGTGTCTCTTTACTCCACTGCAGATCCTTGACTTAGCTTTGAGCATTCTGTTGCGCTTATTGTGTATCTTTGTGTTTCTTTGCCGTAATCTTCACAGTAAATTCCTTTCTGCTTAAAAGCACTTTTCTACCTCCAATTCTACCTACAGGATTAGGAGGTCGTCAGCCAGGTGGAAATGCAGGTACCAATGCAGTGCATCCAGCAGTGTGCCATCTGCAGAATGGAGGAGTGAGTCATGCAGCGTGAAGGCCAAGTGCGGCAGAAGGAAGAGGCAGGAGGAGATAGACCACACAGATGGCTAGGAAAAGAATGCCTAGAGAGCCTTCTCCTTCCCATGGAGAAAGCACTTGTAGAGTTCAACTGCGTGGTGCCTCCATGTGGCCTTGGGCCTCACATTGGGCCCTGCGGCTGGCCAGCCCACCTAGGATATGAATTCACCCAGCTCAAGACAACATGACCCTTCACCTGTCTAGCTCTCTAGAGAGGAGGCTTCTGGCACTTCTTATCTCTAGGACCTAATCGCTGTGTCCTTAGGCTGCTCTGGGGGAGGGACTGTCATGGGATCAGAAGGCTATCTCCTGATGCCTCAGCATTCTTTTAAAGAGGAAATTCTCCCTACTCTTTACCATCCTGACATAGAAAATAAATAACATCTTTGCCAATATGCAAATGTTTTCTTTCGATTCTAGCATCTTGTTCCCAAGCTTAGGACTGCGCCCTAGTCACACATGGCCCACTTGCTCACGCCTGTCTCCTGGTCTAGACTATTCAGGCCGAGTCAACCCCAGGTCTCCCTTCCTGCGCTACAGTCTGGACCCCTCTCTGATGACTGTGCAAGAGACCTTCCCTCCCACATTCCTTCAGTTCCTTTGTTGATTGGTAGAGCTAAAACTTCCCAATATATGTGAATTTGTTTTCGTTCACTTGTGAATCCTATGATGACTTAGTCCATCAAAGTAGCAGCATTCATCTTAGGAATTTCTGGTAATTATTTGCTGATTGTGTTAATATATCATATTTCTAAAGCCAACTCAGTTAATGTTTATAATAAGATTGGCCAAAGTCAAGAGAAGTCTTAAGTGGACTATGCTTTCAATTTCTAAAAAGGCTTCAGACTATGATGGTAATAAACTTGATTTGAAAATTGTATATAATTTGTATTGGAATACACAGATTTATTTAAAAAGTGTAATACTTGCTGGGCACCAGTGGCCCATGCCTGTAATCCTAGCTACTCAGGAGACAGAGGTCAGGAGGGTCACAGTTTGAAGCCACCCGGGCAAATAATTTGCAAGACCCTATCTTGAAAAAACCTTCACAAAAAGGGCTGGTGGAGTGGTTCAAGGTATAGGCCCTGAGTTCAAGCCTCAGTGCGCCAAAAAAAAAAAGTGTAATAGTTGTCCGTGGTAAATTTCTGAGTTTCCCCTAATACTTGAAAATATTCTGGTGCCAGTGTTTTGAGAAGTTCTTGGGTAAAAGAGGGAGGGCTCATTATTTTTGTTTAAAAATTTATATCATCTTGTGTACTCTCAAAGAGTTGTTAAAATTTATTGCATATTTCTTGTATAAATATTTTATATACCAATTTGAAGACTGGATCAATAGATTTATGTTTAGCAGAAAATCGGTTAATTAGTTTTGAATAGTAGTATGCCAAGGTGACTTTCTCAGCTTTATGACTTTCCATAGACGATGGATTCTGCTTTGTGACAAGGCCAGACTCATAAAAATTCCAATCAAATGCCATAAAAAGCATTCTTCCATATGTCAATTTAGTTTTATAGCCGTCTTTGTCAGCATGGTAGTGATTCCATCTGTTTCAGTTTAAGGCCAGCCCAGTCATGCTCTGAAGTAGATGATACACACATAGAGTTTCCTTACACAACGCATATAACGTAAATATATAGTACAGTGTTAATACATTTGTTCAGGCTGTAGTAGGGGCTTAGTGCATGGTATAATAGAACATCTGTAATTCAATCTATAGAATAGAAAGCTGTTTTTTCTTTGTCAAATGATGTGTTTTCCCATTATCTGCTTGGTTTTGGGTGGGTAAATAACGCTGTTACTTACATGTCACCACTAATGAGCAAGTTACTGTCATCTCTGCTATGGGTCTTGTATAGAAATGTTGCTGCCAAGTGAGCTGCTGGTGTTTATTATTCTGGTCATGGGTTAGCACCAGGTGTCACAGTCAATCAGTCTTGGATTGGTAATAGATTGTCATGAAGGCAGAAAATTGCAGATGAGAACAAATTGTCCTATACCTATTATACAATCTCAAGTAATGATGGCTGGTTATGCACCGAGGAGCTGAAATTCTCTGATGGAAAGAAGCCAAGCAGAGGTCGCTAAATAGGTCAGAGGGTTCCAATAGATACCCCGCCCCCTTCTGCTTCTTTTAAAAGCCCTTTTTACTGAATGGTCATAAAAAGAGTTTTGTGCAACCAACAAGACAAGATTACCAACCACGTGGTCCTGGCAGGCAGCCAGCCTGATGACATTTAAATGATGGTAGCTACCATGGCAACCCACTGATCCTTTCATGGTGAAAGTAGATGCAGCTTCCTAAGCCGGACAGGCACAACCTGCAGGGCAGCAGCAGGAGCACAGCCCTGGTCCCAGTGATGCTATTGGGAACCTTGGAAGGCATGCACACCACCTGCTGGACAGCTAAATGTGGGGTACATGGTGTGATATTATAAGATACGTGTTTGGTCTTTATCCCCGTTTCCTGATACAAAAGGAGTTTAGGGTTCCTAAAAACCCTTGTAATCTCCAGAATGATGAGAGTATCTTTTTATGCTAATGAGATGACTG